GTTTATCATGATAACGATAATGTATCCTGTTTTCTGATAACTTCAAAGCCTGAAAGATGGGATTTTTTCAGGTCACTGAGAAATGTATATGTAAATATCTTTGTGTGTGATTTACTGCACCCAAGTTGCAGAATTGGCCTTAACGATTATTTTAGATCACACCTTCCAGAACTTTTCTGAATTTGTATTTTTTTGTTAGAAGCTTAGTTCTTTTCCAGTGCATTGCCGTTCTGAATTTGATATCTGAACAGTATCAACCCATTGCTTTGTTCCATGTCAGTGCTAGTTATTATGTGATTATTTTGTAGAACCGTATTATGTGATATCGTTTAGTTTGATGACCGAATGGCGCCTCAATCGCGGGGTCGAAGAGCAAACCAAAGCTTTCTTTGCCGGTTTTAACTCTGTGTTTCCTCTCGAATGGCTTCAATACTTTGACGAACGAGAACTGGAAGTAGGAATTTGCCCGGTTCTTCATTAACTGAGGCAAAGACAAACTTTTCTAGCTTTTGCTTTGCGGTATGCAAGAAATCGATGTCGAGGACTGGCAACGCAATACGATTTATCGTGGTTATAATTCTTCCAGTAAACAGATACAGTGGTTTTGGCAGGTACTTGTAAACTATTGTTCGAAATAGTACTTTAGCGTCTTTTTCTTCAAAGTTCACCAGCACCCTTGACAGTGTAAAGCGTGCCCGACTACTTCAGTTTGTCACCGGAACGTGCAGAGTTCCTGTTGGTGGTTTTGCTGAATTGATGGGTTTGTAGTTTGTGTATTTTGTTGAAGTTTAAAGGAAGTATGATCAGACGCGTCGCGACACCATGCAGTAACCAGATATGCTGTACTTTAGTTTCTGCTGCTTTCATCGTAGAATGTAGCTTCTGTTTTGGTCAGTAGTCTTCGCGACATAGGTTTTTCTAGGCTAAGGCATTATTAATTTAACAACGTATTCATTTTCAAATTGTAGCTAAAATTGTAGCAAAGGTAGTAAAGTAAAGCAGGTTAAAGTCACTAAGGATCTGCATTGAAACTGCGCCTTAGAAAATTGAGCTAAGTGTTGTGGAAATGTACACAGAGTAATTAAACTGCAAGCTGATTTTTAGGAAGCAACGGCCTTCAACTTTTCTGTATCGAGAAAACTGGCAAGGAAAACTGGCTTCCGAGAAGTCACACGTGTTTTAACAGATTGGATCTTCCGCCTTACCGTTCCTATGAGCAGCTGGCAGAAAAGTTGAAAAGAGCTATTGAAGAAACGGAGGGATTTGGAACTGAATAGCTGTTATGGTTTTAACTTTAAGTATTGATCGTGTGATTACTGACATGTTCATCAAATGTGTGACAATCACTCATTCACCGCGGTCTTCTCTTATGGTCATGTGTACTCCCACGTCTTTGATCTTTCCATGGTAAATTGGAATTTCGCAGATTGGACGCGAAATTCATGTTGTACATTTTATTATGAGTCATAGCAGGCAGTTGGTTAGCTCTGCAATTACCGTCGATATCGCTGGTACTTCGTCACATTCAAGAACCAGGCGGTGTTCTAACCGGCGACAAATCTTCGTAGTACTTCTTCGGGCCGTTAATATTTTTCACGTTCTGCTTACGTTTCACTCTTGCGTTCAATGCCAGCATTTTGAATTGAAGAATTTTTTGTGATAAATTGCTTATGTGATATCATAATTGCTTAAGGAATGCTAGCAAGCCATGTATCGGTAATCTAAAAGTCCTTTGGAACTTTTTTTTATGGTGCGCCGAAATTGTTAAGTCAGCCAGCGGAGTATTCGACATGGAATGTCGAGCACCGAATATTCATTGGTCTGCTTGGACAATGCAGCGGCATTTTCCTAAGCTAAGGACGGCTAACTGGATTTTTTCCTTAGTAGATTATCGATTATAACTAACTAAACATGCAATTGTCATACATTAAATTTAACAATGGTGTCTAAGTTTTCTTGTTGTTTTCTGCATTACTTACGAAGAAGCTGTTTTAGTGCCGATTTTCATGTAGTTTATTCTTGCTGAAACGGTATGTGAAATTAACTTCGCTCATTTATTCATGTGCATTTGTTTCAACTGATTCGAGTTTACTGATTAATTATATTGAAGCATGGTCATGGTAAAGGTGATTACTGTATATAAGGCATCCTCGGTATGGTACATTAATATACCTTTCATGCATTCATAAGTCTTCAGAAATGGATATTCTTTTAGGGTAGCGAGGAGAGACGTAAACGTAAATAACCAGCCTTTACCGTCGTTCGGCAAGGCATGCGTTTTAGTCAGATACATTACAATGTAGCACAGAATTCTGTGGTGTAATTTGGCTCAGTCCTAAGATCCTTTGCTGATGGCTCTGGCAAGGAATATTTGAAATAGTTTGTATTCATACCGTTTTATATTAAAATGTTTAGTTATGAGGCTAATCTGCATTTTTAGGCACCGTTAAGGTCGAAACGGTCAAAAGTAGTGTGTGTATTGAGATCCTCCCCTTTGCACAAGCAGAGCGTCTCTGGTATGTGACGTTGGTTGCAACTGCAGCTTTTCAATATTTGCTGTAAGGCACCGGTTACTGCGTTGCAGAAGAAAATTTTCCATTCCGAAAACAGACTTACCTCTACCTTGTTCTTCCGTGTTTCATGCTGCCCTCCTGGTCGACATCACCATGTTTCTGCCCTTACACAAGAAGCTCCTCAACTGGGGTTTATGTTCAACCAGTTTATGTAAAAGTGTCTACCTGTTTTTCTGCTCTGCCCAGAGGTTGTTTAAGTAGGTCACAGCTCTGTGGAATCTTATCA